GCCAAATAAGAACATAAATTTTGTGGTCATAAAACTCATCACTATCCAAACAATAAGTTCCATACAATTAGGATAGTGTTGGTTCCTACCAAACTTAGCAAAGTTCAATAGAACATCTAGCTATGTTTCTGTTACAGTTTAACTAATTAATTTTAGGCAAAGTATATAATATGATCATTTACTTTTGATACAAGGCGGTCACAATTAATCTTGAATATTATATGTAAAATTCAGTGACTGCATTTATTTAATTGACCAAACTCAAAGTTTAAAAAAAAATTATCAAATTTTGTGATACATCCAAGCGATCAGATTACACATCATATGGCTATAAGGAATTTTGAGATTCTTGTACCGAAGGTAATAACTTCTAAGAATATAGAAACCGGTATGGTCACTAGTCTTGGAGATTTTTGTAGATGAGATATATTCTTTTATAGATTACAATTCTTTAATTTTTACTTGGAGAAAAATGGAGATATAATGAGCATGGCATTATCAAATTTGTTGAGGATAATGTATAGACCATCCTACGAGGCGTTTATTACACACAGCGACAAACTCTGCTACAGTATTTGTCGGCAATAACCTACGTCAGCAAATCGACCTCTGACGTATACCACTACACGTGGCAACGTTCAGTTGTCCAGACACAATGAACCTGCCAGCTATCAAAGCAACACGAGACGATTTGGGGCAAGATTTTATTTTTATAATAAAAAGGGAAAATGACCCGAAGTTTGTTGGAAATACTTTTCTTATTTTTTGAAACTGAAAAGCAACAAATAGACAATAAGTAAACAAACACGAGGGAAATAAGAAAAGAGAACCATAAAATGAAAAAAAAAATTTATTGGGAAAAGTTTATATAGAGTTGAGGCTCTAAACAATCAAATTAGATCCCACCTCAAAAATTTTACTAGAAGAGGTTGTTTGATGCCTAAATATCCTCAAATTGATCATCTCGACATCAAGATGTATGGACATGAGAAAAAAATGGATTTCAAGTTTTGAAAATAGTGCATCTTGTAACATATTTTTGGACCGTCAATTTTTAAGATTTTCAAGTTTTTATAGATCTGCTCGATCTACAATATTTTTGTAGCCTTAAATTTATAATTAAGTATGAAAATATATTTTAATGCTATCAAAAAAATTTCCAATTATGAAACCATATTTCTCGACACTAATTGAAGGTGTCCCTTACTTTGATTATTTAGAGCCTCAGCTCCATACAAACCGCACCCAATTTTATTTGCATTAAGAGGGAAATTAGCCAAGAAAAGGTCATTAAAAAAATTAATAATAATAATAATAAAAGAACAAAGAACTTATTTAGAATGGGAGTAAAGCTACAAAAACACTGACAGCTATAATGAATAGTAATGTAAGTGGAATCTCCGCCGTCATATTTTTATCAGGTTGTTTAAAATATATATCACTATTTGAATTTTAATATTTTCTTATAAATCATATCAAGATGAAATTTTGGGTGTATATTATTAACACTATTGTGCGCCATATAAAAATATTTAAAAAAATACTTTCAAGAATTTTAAAATGATCGAATTACCCCCATCATTTTTCAAGGATATTTTGATCGTTTTATATTTTAAAAAATATTAGTTCTATATTTTTTCTTGTGCACTCGGGTATTTAGTACACATGCCCAAAATTTCATTACGGACCGATTTCTAAAAAAAAGATTAAAATTCAGACAGTAATATATATTTTGACCCACCCGATGAAGATCTGATGGGGCTGGGATTCCACCTATATTATTATTCATTATAACTGCCAAGTGTTTGTTAACGTTTTCCTTATAAAAAATAAGATGTTATAAAAATTTATTAATTGATATTATAAAAATAAGATGTACCTCAAAAACCTACCAAGAAAAGTCATCTCAAGACATTAGAAAGCCCTTCAATTGACTATTTGAACCTAGTAAAGTTTAGGTATAGTAAAGTTTAAGTATGGAGAAAAGGATTTCAAATCCTTAAAATAGTGTATCTTGTTAACATATTATTTACACCGTCTATTTTCCATAATTTCAAGGATTCACTGATTTGCTCGAGCCGATGTAAATAAAATTTCAGGCCATTGCAGGAATTTCTGACATTGAAACTACATATTGTGATTGGGTTTAGATTTTAGAGAATAAAAAAAAAATTAGGATATCATAGTTGGAGTTGTAGAATTTCATGTAAATAAGTAATATTACTAAACGAAGATGGTTTAATCTCTTTGGTCGATATAAACTAACCAACTAACTACAATGGATTTAAAAGCATTCAATTTGGGATCATATACAATGAGACCAGTTGTTTTTTTTATAAAGAAGTCATAATTACTCATAGCCATTGGATATCAAATTAGCTTGGGGTGTGTCATGAAGCTCAAAATTGTCTTTTTTTTTAACTTTAATTCAAGTCAATAAAACACTCACAACCACTAGATTTGAAATTTAAAATACAAAAATGATTTGTGACATTGTACTAAAAGTAAATGGTCTCTTTGCATACATTTCTTTAAAAACTGTCTTGTCAAAATCAGCATTTATTATTTCTAAATGATGGAAAAAAATAAAACAGGAAACCTTGGGATTGAAAGGGTAAAGTAAATCCAAATATTAATATAATTTAAAAAGGTTTGTTATCAAATTATGTATACTTACCGAAAAGGGAAATTTTTTAAAGTAATAATTAAATTCTAGTGCCATTAGTGAAAATTTTATGCAATTGTATATGATGCAAATCAACCATGTTAATGGATAATATCCGTAAATTAAATTTTAAAAGCAGGATAGAGGAATTCACGGGAATAACAACTTTACACAAAACAATAAAAAACTTTACACAAAATGCATAAAAAAGCCGTGTATCGGTCAATTTCGATTGGCTTACATGGATGCCAGCTATGCGGGTCCCTCCCTCTCTCTCCTAAATCTCTTGGACTTTTCTCTCTCCTGCCTTTGTACTCTCTCTCCTTACTTTCTTCTCTCTTCTCTTTTTCTCCTCTCAAATCTCTCTCCCCTTTTCTCTCCTCTCGAAAATCTCCCCCCTTTTCTCTCCTCTCTCTCCTTTCTTTATCTCTCATCTCTCTTCAGTTCTCTCCTCTCTCTTTCGAAAAGTCGACTCGGGCCGACCATGCGGCCCATGCCCCAGCCGAGTGCTGGGCTGAATTTGAGTAAGTCGGCCCAAGTAGGATAAAGTATTAAAACACATCAAAATTATTAAAAAAATATATATATTCAAAATAAATTTAACAAAACAAAATTAATTATGGTTAAAAAAAAAAAGAACATATAACTTTCTAAAAATGAGTTTATGATTGGGGGTATTTTTGAATTTTTTTAAAAATAATGGAAAAATATAAAAATAAATATTCATGGCTAAAATATTTTTCAATCTTTGTCAAAATGATAGAAAACATATAAACAAACATGATACAAATATATTTATTATTTTAAAAAAATATTTATATTCTTTTAATCTTTTTTTAAAAGGATGTAGTTTTTTTTAAGTTGCAACCTTAAACAATCCAATTAAGGCAAACCTCCAAAGTCTATCATAACATGTAATTTTGGTATAAAAAATTCTTAGGATCATCAGGAAATCTAATTTCACATCTAATTACAAAAGTCTAAACTTAAAAAATGATTAAAATCAAGTAGATCCATATATATATGAAAATCTTGAAAATGGACAGTCTAGATAATAAGTTGCAAGATGTACTATTTTTTAGATTCAAAATCTTTTTTTTTTTTCATATTCGCACGTCTCGATGTTCAAATGATCAATTAGAAGGTTTTTCAACATTAAAACAAAACAACATTCTTAGATGGATTTTTCAAGTGCATACGTAATTCTACATTTTAAAGTTGCAAGGTTATATGAACATTTTATTTTTTTAAAATCTTCAAGTTGGGCGATGAACCTCTAAGTCAAAACAAGTCGAGCTCAGGAAGGCCCGAGCCCGAGTAATTGGGGGGAGTAGAAAGCAGTTGGCCCTTTTAAGTCCTCTCTCGCTTCACTTCTCTCCTGAATCACTCCCACTTGTAAACTGCTCCTAAGCTTTTTCTCTCTCCAACCCTCAAAGTCTCGCATGTCTCTTTCCTCTTCTCTCTTTTGTTTCTATTTTCCTCTCTCTTTTCTCTCTCTTCACCTTCACGAATTTCTCTCTTTTTCTTCATTTTCTCACTCACTCTCTCTTTCATCCCTCGCCCTTTTCTCTCTCCTTGAATCGCGTTCTAATCATTTAAGCCATGATCGTGGTGCCAAGTCATCGTCGCCTCGTCATCATACCGAGTCCTGATTGGCTCTCGCTCTGTAACGGTCAAAAGGAGGATGATCCGCCGCACTGTACACGCGTCCGATTCGGAGTAGGCCTCAGTATCAGGCCCGCTGCCCACTACTGACACGTGTCGGTATCAATGAAGGGATACAGCAGGCCCAGTGTAGGCGTACTCTTCTGCCCTCCAAACCCCTTATTTTTGTTTTGTGTTCCTTCCTGTCTTTATCTTTTTGTTGTTCATCTCTTTTTCTTTCTCTTTCTCTCTCTCCCTCCCTTTCTCTCTCTTCTCTATATCTCCCTATTTTCGCACATTCCGATCTCTCTCTGTATCGATCTTTCTTCCAAGTGGAAAATTTGGCTTAATCTGAGAGATTAAGAGGCACTGATGCATTATCCGTCTCTCCTGCGTGTGCTACTGTCTTGAGATGATCTTATAAATTGTGGGTGTAGATCATCTATCTGTGTTATATGCTTCGCATTCTTCCTCTCTTCCTTTGCCTCTCTCTCTACACTTCATGCAGTGCCTTTGAAAGAGGAAGTTAATTTGATCAAATATATGCTTGGCATTGCCCCCTCTTTTTCTCTCTAATCCCAATAGTGTTTGTGAAAGAGCTCTCATTTCATATGCACGCTTATCCTCTCTCTCTCTCCCTCTAATTTTTTATCATTTTTTTATTGTTCAGCTCTCCCTCTCTCTCTCTCTCTCCTGGTCATTTGGAGCTCTCTCTCTCTCTTTCTTGGTCATTTTGTTTAGTGTTCAGCTCTCTCTCCCTCTCTGATCTAGAAATGCTCACCATCGATCCACCAAACAAACCCACTCATAGAACCCAAAACCCCTAAGGAAAAATCGCAATGGGAGAACACTTTGGCCAACAATTCCCCTCCTCAAAACCCTATTTCCCATCAAATTCTGACCAGATCAGCCCACCTCAATTGCTCAGTTACCCCCCATTCCACTACCAAGCCTTTCTTTCATCAAGTTTCTCCAATGAAAGGGAGCACCAAAAACTGATAAACCCTTCTGAGTTTTATGGGTTATTAGGTGATCAGCTCAGTGAGGTCCACAACCAATCTGTGGTCCTGAAAGCCCAGCAAATGATCACAGGTAATACAAATAATAACACCAGTAATACTAATGTTTTCTCAGAGTCTCCAACCTCTATGTGTGGTCCCTCATCTCCAAGCTCCATTGCTAAGAATCATGGAGGAGGAGGTGGTGGTTTTGGTGGTGGAATGATAATGGGGGGAGGCGGGGAGGAGGGAGAAGAAGGTGGAGCTGGTTGTGGGAGGTGGCCAAGACAAGAGACTCTGAGGCTTTTGGAGGTGAGATCTCAGATGGATGTTAAGTTTAGAGAAGCAACACACAAAGGATCACTTTGGGAGGAGGTAGCCAGGTAAGTGACCATGAACCCACTTTTTTTGTTTTCTTTCTCTCTCTAAAAATATTGATGAACATTTATTTTTGTAAACCCACATTTTAGTTTCGTCTCTATTTAAAGATAGTGATGAACCCACATTTTTGTTTCTCTCTCTAAAAACAGTGATTAACCCACATCTTTGTTTCAAAACTCTCTCTCAAATATTTGTTTCATCTCTCTGAAAATGCTGATAATCTCGCATCTTTGTTTCATCTCTCTCCGCCCCCCCCTCCCATTTACCACATTTCTTTTTCTTCTTCTACTCCTGTCTCTCGCTCTAGCTCCAAGTGGTTTTGGATTTTGTTTTTTCTTCGTTTATCTTTGCATAGAGAATAAATAAATGTTTGATGAATTCGATCCCAAATTCGGTGAGGAAGACCACCAAATTGAGTGCGAACAGTGTTAAGTGTGTAGGTAATACTTTGAATGATCTTTTGGTTTCAGTAATGTGTACTTGTGCAAAGATCATTTGACAGATAGCTGACCTCACATTGAAAGAGAGAGAGAGAAAGAGAGATTGTTTCAGTGATTAGTGTACTTGTGCAAGATCATTTGATGGAGAGCTGACCTCACATTAAGAGAGAGAGAGATGGTTTCTGACATTTCGGTTGAGTGAGAGATAATAGGTATCTGTCAATTTGGTCGAGAAGGGAAACCATTGATGTTAATAGAACGCAGTAAATTATGTCACTGTTCTGTGCTTTGTAGAGAGAGAGAGAGAGAGAGAGAGGTGGTCTTTTATATTTTAGGTGAGAGAGAAAGAATGGGTCTGTCATTTTGGTTGAGAAGAAATCACTGTATAACACAGAGCACCAACAAGTGTAACTGAGAGAGAGAGAGAGCTGAATACTAAACAAAATGACCAAGAGAGAGATAGAGATTGTTGAATAGCGGTTCATTAGAACTGAGTAAAGGCACATTTCTAATCACGCTTTCCCCTTTGTGTGTGTATTTTTTAGAGAGAGAAAGAGAGTTTGTGTGTGTTATTTAGGGAGAGAGATCGTGTTCAGGTGATCCGGTTTGAGGCATATCAGCCCATAAGATAGTTCTTGACTTATGGTAATGCTAAAACTCATGATTATCCAGCAAAACCGGGAAGAAGCCATGGACAAATCCTTCCAAATAAAACCAAACAACTGAATCGTCTGAAGACTTCTTCATTGCATCAAACTCTATGCAACCCTTAAAACCCACCATTTTCCTTTTCAGGGTTTTGGCAGAAGAGCACGGGTACCAAAGAACAGGCAAAAAATGTAGAGAGAAGTTTGAGAATCTCTACAAATACTACAAGAAAACAAAGGAAGGCAAAGCAGGAAGACAAGACGGCAAACACTATCGGTTCTTCACTCAACTAGAAGCTATTTGCGGTGAAATTCCGGGAAAAATTCCAGAGATTCCGGCCAAAATTGTGCCTGCAAGTACTAGGAATCATGGAGAGAGCCCAAGCTCTTCTGATAGCTGGAATTGGGAGGAAAGAGAAGAAGAGGAGGGAGGAGAGAGAAAGGACATGGATGGTGGGTTAAGCAGTAGCAGTGGTGGTAGTGAGATGAAGAACAAGAGAGAGAAAATGCGGCGAAAGCAAGATTCAAAGTGGAAGAAGATGAAGGCCTACGTTGAGGCGCAGATGAAAAAGCTTGCAGAGCGACAGGAAGCTTGCGTTGAGAAGGTGGTGCAGGCTCTTGAGAGGAAGGAAAGGGAGAGAATGTGGAGAGAAGAAGAATGGAGGAGGCAGGAGAGAGAGAGGCTAGAGGGAGAGTACCAGATGAGAGCTAGAGAGAGAGAGTGCATGGAAGCTCGGGACCGGGCTCTAATGGCTGCCCTTCAAAGGATAACAGGAGGCCATCAACCAAAGCTTCATATGCCTGAACCCTATGAATTGCAGGAAGAGAAGTACAAGAACATGATGCTACACAATTGCAGTAGTAGCCATGGAGAGAGAAGCCATCAGGCTTGCGAAACCCTAATTCTCAGGCAATCAATGGATGAGATGCCATCAAATTCAGATTCAAATGGAGTTGGGCTTGATCAGGAGATGGGTAATAGCACTAATAATTCTCTCAAATTCTTAATGTGCGATGCTAATGCTATAGGGAACAGTTGGGATGGTTACTCGATGAATATGAGGAAACATATGAAGGAATAGTATTTAAGACAGTACAGGTGCAATCAATGTCAACACTAATGCACCGGATCCCCTCAGAACTCCCAAGTTAAGCAATGCTTAGGCAAGACATACACTAATTCACCCACACTAAAGATTATGTGGGAGTTATGAAGTTACGATTGCTTTGGCAAATTTGAACTACTGCACCGAATTTCATTGAAGCTCTAAATTAAGCGAGTTTGGGCAAGAGCAGTTAAGAGTGTTTGGGCAAGAGCAGTATGGAAAAGTTTTGGGGTGTTATTAAGGGCATTAATTGAACTTGAATGGGTGATTATGCAAAAAGTGGTTCTTAGATGGTGATTTCTCTCTCTCTTTTTCTCTCTAATCAAGTGAGTGAATCAACCATATCTTTGTCTTTTACGATGTTGATTTTGGAATTTATTGTTAAGAGTGATACATGAAAGGGTAACCAATCTACTTAGATGGGTGACCCATCTCTCTCATGAATAACATATCAAATGATAGAGCTTCCTCCTTGGAGTAGTAGTTGAAGGGATCACCTCTTGTGGACCATAGAACATTAAAAACCCTAGAATTTTATGATGGTTATGGTTAACCTCTTGGGAGAAGTCCTATATCTATTCTCAAACGTTCAAAACTATGGTTGAGGAAGAAGCATAAGAGTTGAAGGGAGTTTTCTCAATCAACTATACTTCATTTTCAAGATGGAAAAGGGCTTTCAAAGACCTAATCAGCAGAATACATTAAAGCATCAAAGCTTTACATTTTCCAATGGTAAGTATGGGATTCCAGGCTCTTGTTTTGGTGTTTGGGGTTTGATTGAGTTCCATGAAAAACTCTTGTTTGGTTATTAACTTGTTTCTTGTCTGTTTAGAACTTGATTATAAATTTGTAATTGGTGGATGCCAAATTTGAACTTTGTGGAGAAATCTAATTGTTGAATGTAATGGATTAATTGTATTGAAAGGGTGGAGAATATATTGCTGAGAAAGCAAGTCTGCTGAATATAACAATTAGGGAAAAGTTCATATATAGCCTAGGCTCTAAACAATCAAATTAGAGCCTACTTCAAAAATTTCACTAGAAGTGTACCTCAAAAATTTCACTAGAAGTGGTTGTTGTGATGTCCAAATACATTCATGATCAGCTCGACAACAAATTGCATGGACTTTAGAAAAAAAGTGGATTTCGAGTTTTGGAAATAGTGCATCTTATAACTGATTTTTGGACCGTCAATTTTTAAGTTATTCAAGTTTTCATAGACTGCTCTATCTACCCTGTTTATGAAGTTTTAAATTTTATAATTAAAGACAGATAATATATTTTAAGGCTAGTCAAAGATTTCCGGTACTGAAATCACATTTCTCGATGCTATTTGAAGGTGGGCTCTAATTTGATTGGTTAGAGCCTCGGCTCTATACAAACTGCATATTAAGATGCCTTGCTATCTTTTTCTAACAAAATTTAAAATTTTAAAATAACTATTAAGTATTTTATAGCATATGTTTTTCTTTCATTTTCCGATGCCCTAGCGTTACTACATTGAAGACCTGCGTGTCACATTACCACCATGGAACTGCGACATGCTTGTCATAGAGTGAGTGAGCATGCCACTCTGCGAGAGCACTCTTTACACTTACTCTCTCGGAAATAACAACTATTTAGGGGGAACTTTCAAAAAGAAATTTTGGGTTCCTCTTTAAAATCATAGGATGAGTATTTTCTCTAAAAGGAAAACTAGATTTTTAGTTCCAAGGCTCTTAGATCTGAGATTTGGCCCTTCAAAAATTGGACAGCCTATCATCAATCCTAGGACATTTACAGAGGTACATGTAGGTTCTGGATTTTCATAATTGACTGCAATAGAGGGAATCAAGAAGCTAACCAAGTCTTTTGGCTTAATGGTGTTACAATCTGTTTGTGGTAAGACTGTGTTTTTCATACAAACTTCTCAAAGAGGGACTCAAGCAGGTTTCAAGATGTTAAGATTAATGGCCACCTAGGAATTGTCATTACAAGGGCGAGGATTTGGTAAGACGACAACCACGGCACCCATTTCCCGATTTGTTACCGGAAAAACTAAATCTGCCTTAGTAATGTGCGACCTAAAAATTCATTTATGCCCCTCATAATGGAATTTGAAGTTCTAGTTTGGTGCAGATCTGTCTAGTGTATATGTGAATACATGAATTAGATAGTTCAGAGAAAAATCTTGCAAGATGGATTATTCTTAGGGCCCGAAATCTACTTTTTCCGGTCTGCGATCATTCGAGGTGGAGATGATCGAATTGGAGTGGCCTCAAAATAGCATTTTACACAGAGATTTGAGATGTGATTATATATTTTAGTCCGCCTTAAAAATACTTTCTAGGTGACTAATGGTGGCCATAGATAAAGAATGTAAAATCTTATAACATCCATGTGTAATGTTAGAACAAAACAAAAGGATAGCCTGCGATTAAACTTGTGCGGGAGTACATTGTATCCTTGCTCCCTCGAGCAAAAGTTCCACTAAGAAGGATTTGTTTGATACACAAGTTTGAGAATCACTTCAAACTCAGCAGAGTATCAATTTCTTAAAAATTCTAGAAAAGGGATTTTGAGTTCTTGAATACCTAGATATTACAATCGGTTTTTAATATTTTGAAGATATTATTTCAGGAATTTACGAATATGTTCCAAATTTTTCTGTTTAGGTTGGTCGTTAGATTGAGTAAATTACATCTCAATCATTTTGGTCAAAACAATACTCCCAGGTGGCCAGGAAGAAACTGTACAAATCTCATAACATGGAATATTAGGAAAAATTTCCTTTCTTTTTCTTCAAAAGAAGCACATTTATCAAATATCAATCATGAATGTTGCCAAATTTGTTGGATATTTCGTTAATTCTTTTTCCGTATATATATCTTTTAGCCGGAATTAATAATGGTTGTATCCTTTTTGTATGTTGGAAAATTTTTTAACAGGGCTGCAATCCATCGAAATAAGTAGAGCCTCAACTCAAAAACTCACAAAAAATAAGTATAGCGTCAACTAAAAAACTCACAAAAAATTTACAGTTATAGTGTTGAAAGACCTTCAAATCAATCATCTCAACCTTGACTATTATGGTTGTAAAAAAACTAGGAATTCAAACCCGAAAAATAGTATATATTAAAACACATTATCTAGACCGTCTATTTTCAAGTGTTCACATATCAACAAGATCGGTTCCATTTATTGAGCTATAAAGTTCACACTTGGTGGTGGAAACTGATTTTAGAGCCATCATACAGATTTTCCATGAACAAAGTGTTTTTTAGATGAAGTTTGGAGGTGAAGCTTTACTTCTTTTCTTTTTTTCTTTATAAGGCCAAGGACTTATAAAAACTGTATACTTTCATGTTGGGGATATCCTTTCATGTTGGTACATTGAGACCGCGCATCGTGAGTCTGATGAATTGGTATATACCAGAGTATAAAACCACAAAGTGTATGTAAGTTTGATGACTGGCTTCACGCCAGTGGTAAAAATGCTGATCGATGGGTCGAATCGGGCATCCACCTGAGTTGAGTTCCTAAGTAAGTTTGGTCAAATTGGCCTAAAAAAAAACCAAAAAAAAAAAGTGAAAAATATTAAATATTAAAAAAAAATAGAAGAAGAATGAATTACATAAAAATTGCAGTTTTTATAAAGCCTAGACTCTAAATAATCAAACTAGAGCCCACTTTCAAATAGTGTCGAGAAATGTGGTTTCAATACTGGAAATATTTGTGATAGCCTTAAAATATATTTTCATCTTTATTTATAAAGTGTAAAGCTTCAAAAATAGTGTAGATCTACAGATCTATGAAAATCTTGAAAATCGAAGATCCAAAAATGCATTATAAAATGCATTATTTTAAAAACTTAAAATCCATTTATTTCATGTCCATGCATCTTGATGTCGAGATCATCAATTTGAAGATATTTGGCATCAAAACGAGATCATCAATTTGAAGATATTTGGCATGAAAACAACCTGTTTCAGTGAACTTTTTGAGGTAAGCTGACTGTTTAGAGCCTCGGCTCTATATGCACTTTTCCCTTACATAAAATGATGAAATAAAAAACACAGTTGATTTCATCTAAATGAGCTACAAATCATTATCAAAATAAAAATTTAAAATTACAGAATAATTTGGTAAGAAAATAACTGCAAAAAATGGTGAAAAGAAAATAAATAATTAATATTAGAGATTGTTGTTTTTTATTCAAATTCGTTGGGGTCTTGTAGATCAATATGATAGGAATATTTTAAGATAAAATTTAAATGAATTTAGCGGAAGGATGAGTGAGAAATCAAATATTTTTTTATTTCAGATTCAGAAAACTCAAGAAATTTCTACTCTAGATCTCTTCTAACAAGGGTGTCGATCCAACAAACTATGATAGTGATATGTTAGATCCAAAAGGATCATTTTGAGAAAAAAAATCAAATTATTTGGTAGAGTATTGAAGGAGAAAATTTAAATAAAAAATAAAAAAAGGATTATATCTCTAAAGTTGGCAAACAAAATAAAAATTTGAATTTGTGATTTCATAATTTTTAGGTTTTGACAAGAAAACTTTCTTTATGATTATTGAAGGTGAACAAGATACGAACTAATTGGGCCAAATTTAAGAGATTTTGATGAAGAAATGAGAGAGAGAAATGAATATCTTTTCCTATTAAGTTTTATTTTAAAAAAAAACAGGAGGCGCATGTTTCTATGGGAGATTTAGGTTGTTTCCCGACCGTTCCCGATTCAATTTGGGGGTGTATTGAATCGGACCATCCATTTTTTGAATCCTTGGCTCATACTTGGTGCTTTAACTTTCTCAAGTCAACTTGTTCCACTGAAAAATATATAGTGTGTCCATGTAATTCTACGGGATTATTATATTCGTTAAAATTCAAGAACCGCTTATATGGAGAGGTGGCAACGGGTCGAGTCGGATAAGGGACTGACCCATGGATTTGACACAAAAAGTAATATATTTATATGTTTAACTCAGCGTTTTAAAAATCGCCGAGTCGAACCGGACTCGCCCGGTTCGACTCGGAATTCACGAAAAAGGGACCGGATCGGTTCAAAAACCGGGAATCGTCCGGTTCTAGAGAGAACCGGACGATTCCGCACAGTGACTCGCCGATTCACTGTGCGGAATCGGCGAGTCCGTGAAGAACACGGGTTGCACAGTGTTCTTCACGGATTTTTTTCAAATTTGTCATTTTTTGTTCATTTTTTTTGTTTTTTTCGGCACGTGATCTGTTTTTCAGGCTGTAAACAGCTTTATTCAGCTTTTTTAACGATTTAATGGTGGAAAAATTGGTTGTTTTTGGATCAAGAAAAATTT